CTAACCGGAGAAATTCAAGAACCTCGCCGGAGTTCCTGCGTTCGCCGAGTTGCAGAGACGAGAATGAAAGGGAGAAAGACGAGGTTGCTGATGATGATAGGTGTCTTCCTGAAGCAGGTGCGATGGTGTGCGTGTGTGTATATGGGTCTCAGACCCTCGGTGCAGAGAGAAAGGAGAGAGACGACACCGACGAGGGAGGAGCAAAAGGCGATGTGGGAGAAGGATCGAGAGACCTTAGGTCTCTGTGCATGTGTGTGGGAGAAGGATCGAGAGACCTTGGGTCTCTGTGCATGTGTGTGGGAGATCTCTGTGTGTGTGTGGGAGAATGGAGAAGGGGGAGAAGGGAGATCAGAGAAGAAGAGAGAATGATAGAGAGAGAGAGACTGTGTGCGTGTGTTGTGTTGTGTGCGTGTGTGGTGGCGTGTCGGTGTGTGTGTGTGTCGGTGTGTGTGTGGTTGGGTCATCTGACTCACACTCACCTGACAACTTTTACAATCACAGACCATGGACAAAAATAATAGTGTTTTCATAATGAAACCGTGTGCCACTGTGAGTTTGTGATATTCTTTCACATTCAAAACCGTGTGCCACTGTGAGTCTGTGATATTCTTTCACATTCTCGAAGGTGGAGTATCAAAGTCATTCAGAGCATTTTTGTTTCTTCTTCTTCCCTTACCCCTTTCAAAGCCATTCCAGATCCATTCCAGAGCTTGAACACAAAGGTTCCATATTTAAAGTAAGTTACAAACTTATATTTATATTATTGTAATTTATACAACAACAAAAAAATTTGTGTGGACTCGTATGTTAATTTTTTTTAAGTAATTAATACTTGCATGTTAATTTTTGTAAGTAATTAAGTAATGTTAACAATTACATGTTAATTTTTTTAAGCAATTAAGTAATGTTGTATAATTATTCCCTAGGATAATTTTAATATGTTTAATGTTATTTATTATTTTATTAATATTAGGTTTGATTATCAAATTGGATTATTATTCATTAATATTAGGTTTTTTTTATTATCAAATTGGATTATTATTCATTAAATTGGATTATTATCAAATTGGATTATTCATTAAATTGGATTATTATTAAATTGGATTATTATCAAATTGGATTATTATTCATCACTATGTTTTATATTAGGATTATTTTTTATCAAATTGGATTATTATTCATTAATATTAGGTTTTATTATTCCATATTATTTTTATAATTACTTAAATTTTTACAATCATTTTCTTTACTTCATATTTAATTCTTTTGTAGAATAACTTTATTATTTAGGTTCTCTTATATAACCGTCATCACTACTATATTTTTTGGCCAAAAAATAATTGTCTAATTTTCATGAAAAATAAATATAGGTACGTTTAAGATGTCCAGTGAAGTTACTAAACGTGATCCAGCTTGGGAACATGGAGACCCAATAGACGGAAACAAATATGGCACAATTTTCAAATATTGTGGTCGGGTAATGAAGAGTGGTGGAGTGACACGACTTAAGTACCATCTTAGTGGATTAGATCCAGCAAAAAATGTCCAACGATGCGATAATGTCCCCCCAGAAGTGAAGGCATTCATCAGCACATTATTAAAAAATAAAAAACAGCAGAAGGAAAAGATAACTCATGGAATGGAAAATATTCGAGTTGGGCTACGAGGAGAAGTCTATGGCCAAGCGGTTGACAATGATGATGATGACGATGAGGACGAATGTGATGATGACATGGGACCTGAAGAACGACGCAGTTTGAAACAAGCATTACGTGCCTCAAAACAGTCAGCATGGGAAAGAGAACACCTTCATAAAATTCCTAATAGAGTACAAGGTTCCGGGACAAGTAGTGGTGCACAAATGAGATGGGGAGGCAGTCTTAGAGAATCACAACCAACACCACCAATAGTCCCAAGTTTATATAAGTCATCCAAAGCACGTCAATAGAGTGTTTGGAGTTATTTCACTCGAGGTAATGTGAAGGAGGGAATGGGGCGTCTAATTAGCAAGTTCTTTATCTATGAAAAATGTCCTTGCTGAGAAAGCATCATCACATCATTTCAAAAATATGGTAGTGGGATGTCAACAGGCCAATGTTGGAGTACAATCTCCCACTCCCTATGAGATAAGAAACAAATATTTGGATATGGAGTATAAAAACATTGGCGAGTATGTTAACAAGTTAAGGTCGAAGTGGGAAACTAATGGTTGCACAATCATGTGTGACGGATGGACTGGCCCGACCAGATTGTCTATCATAAACTTCATGGTATACTCCAAGGGAAAGACAATTTTTTTGAAGTCTGTTGATGCTTCAGACCATATAAAGAACTACAAGTATATTTACAAATTATTGAGGGATGTAATCATGGAGGTGGGAGAACATAATGTTGTCCAAGTCGTGACCGACAACGGTTCTGCATTTGTCAAAGCTGGAAAAAAGTTAATGAAGCATCATAATATGTTATGGACATCATGTGTAGCACATTGTATTGATCTCATGTTTGAGGCAATGGGGAAGAAAGAGAATGTTGCTACTGTGGTAAAAAGAGCTAGAACGATCACAAATTATATTTACAATCACGGTTGGTTGTTGGCAAAGATGCGTGAATTTTGCAAAGGAGACATTATTCGTCCAGCTACCACTCGATTCGCCACCAACTATATTGCATTAGACAGCCTACTTAAGAAGAAAGCAGGGTTGAAGCACCTACTCACTAGTGACAATTAGGCCAACCACAATCAGAACATGTGTGCCAAGTGTTTGAACCTCTTTACAAAGTTTTACGGATCGTTGACACAGAAGTGTATCCTACTATAGGGGCAATAAATGAGTTGATGCGTGTAGTGAAAAATGAATTGGAAAGAAAACATGGTGCAAGGTGGGCCATAAAAATAATTGAAGACCGATGGTATAAAACATTATACCACGATTTGCATGCAGCAAGTATAAATTATGTCATAATTTGCAATTCATTTCTTTAGTTGCATAAGTATTATTTCTCTTATTAGAGTATGTGTTTCTTTGAACAACATATTATTTGAATCCTCGATACCAATACAGACCCGGTGTTGGAGATGATGGTACCTTTATACGTGCTGTACATAATGTATACTCTAAATTAAACCCTGCATCACCAACAGTTGGCCAATTTGGAAATGAGGTACATAATTACTTAAATTATAATAATTACTTTGTTGGATTAAACTAACACGATTTATTGAATTCAGCTAACATGGTTTAAAGATGCAAGAAGAACTTTTGGAGAACCAACATCAATTGCCGCTCGAACAAAAATGTCTCCTAGTGAGTGTAAACATATTTCACGATAAGAATTTGTTGGAGTTATTAGGCTTATCAACATTGTTTTTCATTGTAGCTGAATGGTGGATCATGTATGGGACTGATGCATCAACTGTGAGAAAGTTAGCAATCAAAGTATTATCACAAACAGCTTCCTCATCTGCTTGTGAAAGAAATTGGAGCACATTTGTACTCATACACACAAAGCAAAGAAATAGATTGGCTCATAGTCGGTTGGAAAAATTAGTTTATTGCTACTACAACATGAAGCTTTAAATTCGAGATAAGGAAGCAGAAATAGATCATGTTGACCGTGGTGACCCACTAGATGTATTTGATATTGTTGCTGAAGATGATGATACAGAGGGTAACCAACTTTATCAATGGATTAGACCTCTTCATTTAGATGATGATGAAGGCAACCCAGCTCCCAGAGTTGCTGAAGAAACACGTAATAAAGGGATAAATGTAGAAAGAGGATTAGCGGAGGAGGTGTGATCTAGCAGCGCTGACTCTTTGGAAGAACTTTTGCGACCAAGACCAAGAAACACTGGAATTCCACCTTCTTCCAATCCTACACAACCACAACATCGTGCTGATACTAATGATAGCTTTAGTACGAGATCAGGAGGAGACTCACCTACCACTGGAGGTGGGAATGATGAAGGATATAGTGAAGCTGGAGGTATTGGTGGTGGATATGGAAACTATGTTAGACCATCTCCCGAATTTATGAGCCCCTTCACTGGTGAGGCAAACTTCACGCATGTAACACAGGATGAGGACCATGGCAGTAGGCGGGCAGGACCAGGAATTGGTGCCATAGGGAAGGACTGTACTCGTAGAGAAAGAGGCAAGGGGATTTTGTCAAGTCAAGAAGATGACTCGTTATCTATAACTTCGGACTCTGTTGGAGTGGGAAGTAGTAACTATGGTTATACTCATAACCAACCATTTCCCTACCCTTCATATCCCATTCCTGTTGGGATGAAATCGAGTGACTTATGGAAACAATCCGAGACTCAATCTTCAAATGATTTTGCTTATGGACAAGGTCAACCAATCTCGGATCCATATAGGTGGCATGTTAACAATTACATGCAAAACTATTTTGGGGATTTATCATTTGATAACTACTCTTCACAATACACTCACTCTACACATAGAGATGATGAAGATGGTGAAAAATTTGAACCTTATAGGAACTCTATGTGGTACTAAGTCACTCATGTATCTTACCATGCAATGTATAAAGTGTAAAATATTGTACTAATTCATTATATATAAATGATTATGGTGTGTTTAAATTTTTTTCATTAATTACTACATATTTTCTACACTCACAATGTTTGCCAGCTCGCTAAATAATCAACTTGATAATGTTAAATCCATCATGCAATGCATTCCTTCCAATTTTTTATGATAAACTAATAGATAATTGACTAAATAAACATCCTGCAAAGTTTCAATAAAAATTTCCAAGTTTTTCTTACAATTTCCGTAGTTTCCATATTATTTTTATCGATATCGATATTATCCCAATATTTCCATTGATATTTTTGTGTTTTCGGATTACCGATATTTCCGATATCATCGATATTTAATACCTTGATTACAACAATCATCTCTTCAACTCTACCCCAACAAAATACACCAAAATAAATAATAAACTTGGAAAATTGAACAATTGAAAAATTGAAAAATTGAAAAAACAAAACGCACAGAAAAGCGAGAGAGAGAGGGGGAGGGAGGAGAGAGAGAGAGAGCAAAGCGGGGGAGATCTGCCAGAACCAAAGAATTTCATCGAGCTCTCCTTCTCTCCGATCAGATCGGACTCTGTCCGTACAAAAATTAGGGCTTCATATTTACTTTCCCAATTTCTCCCACAATATTTCGATTTTTACATTTTGCAATTCGAAATTATCCGACAGTTTGAATTGCGTTGAATTGCGCCTCATTCCTTGATTCCCTGATCCGGATACGCTGTAATTTTTTAGGGTTTTGTTGTTGGCACGTAGGGTTTTGGTTCGTTAGGGGTTTGTGGGGGAGGCGGTGGTGGCAATTGGGCATTTGATATGTTTGAAATTGTTTGAGTTTTGGGGGATTGATTGAATGGCTTCGGCTCAGGTACTGCCCAACTCGCGAAAGCAAGATCTTTTGGAAGCCGGAAAGCGCCGGGTAATGTTTCTATTCGATTACAATTTCGATCTCGCACGAAATGTTTCATTTTGCATTTGTATGCATGCTTGGGTCTGTGTATGTATATGCAATTCGAAATGCGAAATGATTGATTTTTCATGTCAAATCTTAATCCACTTGTCGAGTTTGATTGTGAACGGTCGTAATTCATATTTTGTAGCTGTCATAATGTAGTTAATTTGTTGCTGATGATAGAAATTCGATTACAAACGCACATTTTTGTGGTCTAGGAATCCGTTTTGATTGGGTTACATGTTTAGAAACAGAACGGGATATTGGGAATATATTGAATGTTGATGCTTCTGGGTGTCTACGATGAACCCTTGTATCTTGTTTTGAGCTAGCAGGAACAAACTGATTTAGCAGTATTTTAGTTACGTGACGTAAGAAACAAAGACGTAGAACAGGTAGGTTTTGAATTTGCATATAAGGCTAGGCTGTCATGGTTATTTCATAAGCATTCTTCATATACAGACTCCTTATGGTAAGAAAAAGAAAGAGGAAGAAGAAGAGCACAATAAACTTAAAGTGTCAATGATCCGCCGTACTTTGACAAAGTTTTGTTTTGTTTCTTCAAAAAGAAGTTCTCTAAGCTTCTAGGTCCCTTGATAGACGGATCAAATCTTAGTTCTGGGTCTCTATAGTTCACTTTTTCTTAGTTTAGAAACTCGACTTTAACAAATATTTAGTCATTTCAGAGACAAATTTCATACCAAATATTTTTATTTGATTGTAGAATTTCACACATATTTGGTTTCCTCTGCTTTTGCAGCTGGAGGAGTTTCGGAAGAAAAAGCAGCAGACCGAGCTAAGAAGGCTTCATCCACTAGCCAAATCGATGCTTCTGAAGTTAGCTCAAACGAGAAACAATCTCTAGAAACTGAACATGTACGAGTTACAGCCTCTGATGGTGCTGGTACATCTGATGGGCCCAGTAGTGCTTTTACTGAAACTTCTTCTGTATTATTGAACAATGATAGCAACGCGATTGATTTTTTGCAAAAAAATGAACAAGCTTCCGTGGATAATAATACACACAGCAGTCCTTCAACCTCTGAGTTTAATGCATATTCTGGAGATCAAGTACAGAAACATGCTGATCAAGAATATCTGAGATATGGTGTTTTAGGGTTTGGGGGACCACTGGCCGTTAATAATCGCCATGGGACTAATGGGATAAGTAATGATTTTGAAAAATATACTGGTGCCTTAGGTGGGACAACATCTGACCAGTCTTTTGCTCCACGCCCACAAGCAAATCAAGATTTTGCGGGCAATACAAGTCACTCCAGTTCTTATGGAAGGAATGAATTTCAGTCCAAAGAACATATTACATCTTTAATGGATTCTGGTTCTTCACATCCATCTGTTGCAAAAATCTCATCTCAGAACTCTGTCAGCACATTACTACAGAGTGAAGCCTCTAATGTCAGCATAGTGTCTGGTGGCCCTGCACCGTCTTCACTTTATGAAGGTAATTGTACATTTTTGGATTTTGGTTTTTGGTGTTCTGATCTAAAATCAGTGTATTTGTGAATAATTTCCAACTCTTGTCTTTGAGGAATATGCTTACTGTATTATGTTTTGAGATGTCATGGCAGACTTGGTTGAACCCAGTCCCAGCATAAGAGGATTTGCTTCTGAAGTTGGTAAAAACATCCGTGGTAGTAGTGAGGACTTAAGTGATTCTCTGAGTTATAAATTTGGGGAAGGAAAGCTTAGCAGCTTTGCCAGTAGCATTTCTAGTGGGCAGAGTGCACCAGTTCAAACATATGAATCCATGGGGGGTTTTGGATCTGATTCTAGAAGTTCCTCCAATCATGCATCATTGTATTCAGTTACACCTGAAACTAATTCTCGGAGATCTCGTCCATCCTTCCTTGATTCTCTTAATGTGTCTAAAACTTCTTCAGGCACTGTTTCTCAACAACCTGAACCAGAAGGGCCATTTATGTCCAACAGTTCTAAATCAAGTGGCATGAATTTTCTAGGTTCATCGCCTTTCCACAAGCCATCTATGGATGATGATACTGTGAGACCCTTTTTAAAGTTTGAAAGTGGTGCACCTCATGCATCTGAGCCTTCCATGAAGTCTTCACTTTCTCCTAATGCTTGGATGGACCAGCAGAGGCCAACAGTTGAGGGGAATAGCATGGAGAGAAAGCATGAATTTTATTCTCCTAATCAGAATGAAGATTTTTCTGCTTTGGAACAGGTGTAGTGTGTCCCTATTTTTCAGCTGGTGGATTTTTACACATATGTCCAGTGGTGCCACTTCTTTCTCATATTCAGATATTTTATCCATTTTAAGTTTTTAACACGGAGAATCCTTAATCAATTCAATAGTCTGCTGTTATGGCCTCTCTTCGATGCATAGCATGACAAAAGCAGTCCATTGAGTTTTTATGAGCATCCTTTTGGATGAAAATATAGGTTGATTACTAGAGAACATCACGAGTAATAAGGGGTATTGATGACATAGTTGTGACTTTTGAGGGAGTAGTGACTGGATGGCAATAGATAGAAGCTTATAGTGAAGATATGTAGATGATAGCAAAGTATAAAACATCGAGATACTAGGATATTTATGGTATGGGATTGACCAAAAAGGATGTATGATATTGAAGAATGGACATACCTTTCTTTTCAAGTGCATTACCTAAGCTGGCGCATAATCCTATACTCTCAAATTTTGACTTCCTTTTTTGAGACTTTGAATACAATAAACAACTTTAGCACAGTGGAGAAAGATACATATACTAGGCCAAGGCCTATACACCAAATAAACTCATTGACCATGGATAAAGAAAAACTGTTTCAACGTCAAAAAATGATGTCCCTTTTTTGTCAGTGGAACGTTTGACATTAAATTACTAGATGCTAAGTTTGTTTGGTATATCTACTAAGTAAGTTTTATTTTCCATGCGTCAGTTATAAATTGTGAACTGCAAGTGTCATATGGCTTTGTCATTCATCACAGGTTGTAGTACTTCAAAATAAAAAGAACAAATTGATTTAACCTTGTTAAGTTTATTTGAATAGTGATATCACCTTAGCAAAATCGTTTCTTTGGAATACTTTTTTGTTGACATGTTTTTGTATTTTTCTTGTCATTATGCAGCATATTGAAGATTTGACACAAGAAAAGTTCTCTTTGCAACGAGCACTTGAGGCTTCACGTGCTTTAGCAGAGTCATTGGCTGCTGAAAATTCTTCTTTGACAGAGAGTTATAACCAACAGGTGTTTCTGCTTTACATGATATTGCACCTTGACATTTGTGTAACTTTTACTTTGTTGATGAATTGTGAACTAAACATCTTTGTATTACTTTCTTTTTGCCTGATTTATCCTATTATGAAGACGGTTGTGCTGACTTCATCCGAAATGATGCCCCTTGTGTTTCCCTGACAAAGTCATTTGATAGTGCCATGGCCCACGGCTTTCTTCTAACTGTTGTTCTGTTTTCTTTTTCTCCAGAGAACTGTTGTTGATCAACTAAAATCTGACTTGGAAAATATACAGGAGGAAATCAAACACCAGCTGGTTAGAGTCAATCATCCCCCTTCTACTGATAATTGCAGAGCAAACTTGTACCTCTGGGGACCATTCTAATTTATTAGTTATTTAATATAGGTGGAACTTGACTCGTCTTCAATTTATGTTGTAGTAGTTTTAATTTCTTGATGTGAACAGGTGGAACTTGATGCGGTCAGAAATGAATATGCAAATGCACAGCTAGAATGTAATGCCGCTGATGAACGTGCTAAGCTATTGGCATCGGAAGTTATCGGATTAGAGGAGAAGGTAGTGTTTTTTCTTGGTATGTTGGGATTTTAGGTACTGAGTTTAGAAAGAAATTTTGATTCAGTTTTTTGATCTGGAGAAAACCTTTCTTATTATAATTGTATTTGCTTTTCTGTCTGAATAAAGGGACATAATAGGCAGAAATTCTCATGATATTTTTTTTCCCTTGATTGTGAGCTATGAAACTATTAATGTTCACACTTTTGACAAACATAAAATTTTATCCTTGTATGATTATATATGAGTGCGTATGCACATATTAATATGAGTTAGGTACTGAAATTGCGAATCGTTGATAGTGCTTTTTAAAATAAAATAAAAAAGAATTCAAATTTTATGTTTACTTTTGTAGGCATTAAGACTAAGGTCCAGTGAGCTAAAGCTGGAGAGGCAATTGGAGAACTCACAGGCTGAAATCTTGTCGTACAAGTACGTTAGCGTTCTGTTCAGTAAATTAAGAATTTGTGCACAAATTCTGAATCACTTGTTTGATATTTTACCACTCCCCATCTTATATGGAGAATGTTACACTTGTCTTGGAAATATAAAATAAAATAGAAACTAAATCTGAAATTTTGACAGTGGCTCTGAATGTAACAAACTACTGAGTAATGAGCTGTAGAATTATGTGTTATGAGATTATGGATTAAGTTGTGAACACCTTTTTCATCCTTTATTGTTGGGCTTGCGGGTTTCAATAGAATGTTGTGCCATCATAATATGAAAGGACATGCTCACATGCTCAAGGAGTGGAGATGACAAGTGCCTGAAGAAGTAGGACTAGTTTGAAACTGATTCAAAGTCTCTTCCTCTAATGGTGGGATCTTATCAATGTGCTTTTGGACCAAAGTGCTTCTGGTTATCTAGCAAAATATTGTTATCACATTATAAGTATGGTATTATATGGTGTTAGATGGGATGCCTCACCTTTTCTCTCCCTCTCCTCCTCTCCCCCCCCCCCCTCCCCCCGGCCCCCCTTCCCTTACTCCCATTACATATAATTATCATGCTGTGTAGCTACATGTCTCTGAAGATAACTATTTATGAATCTGTGCAGGAAAAGAATGTCCAGCCTAGAAAAAGATCGTTCAGATTTGCAGTCAACTATCAATGCTCTTCAGGAAGGTAAGTGTGCCTATATAAAAATACCTCTGTGTAGAGTATTTACCTTGTAGTGGCTTTTCCAGGGACAAATTGCTTACTTTTTTAATTTCCTGGTCTAGATTTTCTGCTTTCTGGTGTCATTGTCACCATTTTAAGAGCTTAATTAAGCGACTTCTTTTAGCAAGGTTATTTAACTGCTTAGAGTGTGAAGTAACTCCACACCACATCACTAGCCCTATAAACTATTGGTGAGATACACAAATGCAGCCAGACTCCCAGTCATGCATTTGAAAGAAGTGATCATGTATTCCGTTGTGTTTTTTAAGTTTTAAAACTTTTTTGTTCTTCTTGTTATAGTTATATTAGCAATGTGAATACAAGCTATGAATATTGGGAGTTGCATGTAGCAAAGGCCCTAAATTTAATCGATAGGGGCTGGGACAACTGTATTGTGTATGTCCATAAATATTGAAACTTGTTAGGCCTACATTTGAGAATACTTCGTTGGATGTGTGGGCACACGAGAAAGGACAAGATTAGGAATGAGGATATCTGAGGTAAATTAGGAGTAGTTGAAATTGAAGATAAGATGAGAGAGAATCGGTTAAGGTGGTTTGGACATGTGAAACGAAGACCTACAGACGCTCCGGTTAGAAGGTGCGATTATGAGACAGAGGCTCAAGGCCAAAAGGGTAGGGGAAGACTTAGGAAGACTTGGAAATAGACTCTAAGAAAAGACTTGGACTACTTCAATCTAACAGAAGAAATGACACAAAACCGCAATGGCGTTCTGGGATTCATATAGCCAACCCCACTTAGTGGGATAAGGCTTTGTTGCTGTTGTTTCCATCTTTCTTGACTGTGAAGTGGCTAAGTGGTCCTTGTGCCAATAAGGGCAGGTCGTCGTGAAATTATTGAGTTGTTTCTTAAGCTTTCCACTAATGTGAATGCACCCTTATCTAGTATTATTTATGGTTGCATATCTTACCCCTTATTCAGTGTTATTATCTGGTATAGAGAAGAAGCTGTTGCAGTCTATGCTACGGAAAGCCTCCACAAGTGGAAATAAAGTTGATGTCAGCAAGAGTACTACTAACAACAAAGATGTGTCTACTTCTACAGAAGATCTAGGTAAATTCAACTCTTCTGGATATTTTGCTTATAAATTGATATTTCTATATCCAAATGATAAGGGCTGAGTTTCGTAATGTATCCGGTTAATTGGTACGTAGCCATGGTTCTTTCTTTTTTTTTTTGGGTTTTAGTCCATGTGTTTTTCAAATTAGTGCTTGAGTGTGTTATTATATGTTGAACAGTACTCCATCTTCAAATTTTTTATGATTGCATTATATGGATGATATTCTGAGAATATTTCTAGTGTTGTGTTTGTAGATAACTTTTGGTATCTATCTATTAATTTTATATCAACTTAGCACTTTTGACAACTGTTGAAATAAACTGATTGCTGCTGATTTATCCTGATTTCATTAACACAAAATCTGTTTAATTGTAATCCTAATTAATCAATATCTTCCAAAAGGAAAAAATGATACCCAGAATTCTGGGAATAGGCAAAGATAACCTAAGTGCTCCTCATTGTTTTGATTGATATTCCTGATCAACTGTTTTAATTTACAGAAGTTGGAGTTGTGGTTGCAGTCGTTGTATGACAAGTTTATTACTTATTTTTGTGGAATTTAAGTTGCTGATCAATGCTCACAAAAAACAAAGAATAATGTTTCACAAATAAGCCTTGTACAGTTGTACTGATGAATGAATGACTAAAGTGTGACAGCTATTTCTCCTTTTTGTAATCTTTTTTCTTTTATAATTATGCTTTGTGCGTCTGGGTATTGTGTTCACCAGTTGAGGAAAATGAAGACGCTATTCCTGACACCTTAGGCCAGGAAGGGGGCGATGCCTCGAGTTTCCCAATGCTGCCTGAAAATGGACAGTCAACTTTTGACATTTCATCTGTGAATCTACCTCCCGATCAGATGCAAACAGTTGAAAACATCAGTACACTAATTTCCGAGGTACCATGCACCCCTTATATCCTCTCCTAACTATCTACCCCTTGTATTTTCTCAGTGATACACTTTTGAAGGCTTATTTCCTTTCTTTTCCTTCAGATTTGTGTTGTAAAATCTAGTCCATTAAATTGAATTCTACTCTCTTTGGTATTTCAGTTAGCATTGGAGAAAGAAGAATTGATACAATCTTTGGCATCCGAGTCATCTCAATGTTCCAAGCTGAAGGTAGCATATTTTTAATTTTCAACTCAGTATAGAAGTCTGCTACGACTTTTGACTTGTTAGTATGTAGCCCACTTTAAGCAAGAAAGGGCTTTCTTTGGGACCGAGTAATATATTTTAGGGTTGAGGCCTTGTTGTTGATACATGGTTGAAAAAGCATTAAACGTACAAATGGAATATGAAATAATGTGAGCAAAAGAGGCCTATGCACTTCGCACGTGTACTTGGTTCTGAGAATGATAGTATCATCTATGGGCCTCTCGCTCATACTCTAGTGCAAAATGTATCTTCAAGTCATATTGTTAGCAGTCATTCAATTTTTTTTATATATTCGTTTGTGTCTGGCTCATAATTATTTTCAGGGGCCACAGCTAATAATTGCAATGTTGACTGTTTTCCTTTTCATGAATGAAGGAGCTGAACAATGAATTGTCTCGGAAACTTGAAGCCCAAACTCAGAGATTAGAGCTTTTGACAGCCCAAAGTATGGCTAATGAGAATACTCTCGTCAGACAACCCACTCCTGTTGATATGTCGTACAATGCTCCATATGCAGATGAAGGTGATGAGGTAATGCGTTTTGTTTTATATAAATATTATTTATACTTAAAGCACAGGTACATCATTCCTCAAAGAACTGAACAGTTCTGTGATTGTTTTGCTTCTAAATACATTTATTGCCGAAATTACGAATGTCTTTCTGATACAAGCTGATAGTTACCTATAGCTCAATATAAAGAAGAAAAGAAAAAGAAACCCAGAGTGCAAATGATTGGCTGATATAGAAATATTATTTTTCTCTATATTCTCGTATGTAGGTAGTGGAAAGAGTCTTGGGATGGATTATGAAGCTTTTCCCTGGAGGGCCATCAAAACGAAGAACTAGTAAGCTTCTATGAGTTTCGACTCAGTATAGCTTGTCAGGAATGCCTGTGCTGAGATCTGGTTTTGTTTTCCATCACTCCCTTGGCGTAATGAAGGTCGTAATTTGTTTATTTTTTGAGTCAATCTTAGAGCCCATTCTTTCCAGTACAAGAAATAAGATCTTGTACGTAAGAGGCCGGCCCTGTCATTGATTGAGAGAGCATTTCTTTGAATGATGACAATAAAGTCCCTTGTTACACTTATTGATTTAGATCTTATATTTTAGGGGAAGGGATGTGGTGGATACCGAAAGAGAGGGATTAAAAGTATAGACGTGAGAGATGAACGTGCATTTTTTTAGTTTCGCAATTTTTTGTTGTATTTTAATTTGAATGTGCTTTTTTTTTTAATGCGTTTGAGGTTTTTCTTTGCGAAACTTGTTCAGGCATGACTTTCGATATACATAATGATATGTCTTATGAATTTGAATCGACGATTGCGTTATTAATCAGTTGGATCTAAACCAAGTTTCTTATGTATAGTAATATAAATGGATGTCTACAAAGACAATGGGTAATTTACTGTTTCATCTACCTTCATGTAGACTTGTAAACGGGTCGGGTTTATTGGGTTTGGGTTGAGTTTCATCCAACCCGTTAACTTAACGGGTCATTCAAACCCAACCTGTTAAGTTAACGGGTCATCCAAATCCAAACCGTTAAGCTAACGGGGTCATCCATTCACCCGTGAACAACTTTTTTTTTTTTTTCGTTTCACCCGTCATCCGTGCCTTCATCATCGACCTCTTCTGGGCCGCAATTCTGGTTGATTTTTTGTATTTCCCTAAGATCCATGAACAAACCACCCAGAGTTCAAAGGATCTCACCGACATCATTTTCAAATTCCCCGGACGGAAATCTCCTCTTAAGGCTATACACATGATCGAATCGGTGCTCGATCGAGACGACCCTGTTTATTGGGACTTCCTCTCCTTTTGCTTATATCTTCCCAAATCCAAAGGTATCATCGTCAACACGTTCGAAGAGCTTGAGCCACCTACCATCCTCCTGGCCATTGCTGAAGGCCTGTGTAAATTTCACGCCTTGGGAGACGTTGGCGAGGGGTGTGAATTTCACGGCGTTGGAAGATCCGTCGCCTTTGCCGAAGCTGAGGTATCTAGTGCCACTGGATTTGGAGGGGAGGCAGTAGGAGAAGAACCGGTTGTATTTCGAGGCAGATTACTCGATGAGGGAGATTTTATCCCGGTCGAGATCGAGCAAACCGGAGGCACCCCTAAAGAGTCCCTGATTGTTCTGGTCGCACCTGAACAAAAATCCGTCAAAAATATCCGTTGGCATTAAGCTCAGCTGTTCCTTCTCGAAAAATCCGACGGAGAATGACTGGTCTTCGTACTAAATGCCGTAGATACAGCTGGAGGAGGAACCCAGGAGTGTTTTTTGTGACTGACGCTGTAAAACAGATTTCATCCAAAATGACCCGTTATTTAACGAGTGATTAACGGATTAACCCGTTAACCATCCGACCCGTTTATCACTCATCCGAATACTGATTTTAATGGGTTGAGTCGGGTCGGGTTAATGGGTCGGGTTGAAAATGCCAGGTCTACCTCCATGTGATGGCTTCCAAGTTGGAAAATAATGTAGGGTTTTCTTGTCCAATCAGAGATGGTTTTTTTTCCTTTGGACTTGTTAAAATCTGCTCAAGTAACCTGGGGCATGCTCTTATTGAATTCATTTTCTTAAGGATAAATGTAGCTAAATTGTTTAATTTATTCATTAGTTCCAAAAAAAACAATGAAAGTACCAAACAAGCTTTTATATCTTTGTGTTTCTAGTTAAAAAGCGCAGAAAAGCACTTTTTATTTGCTTTGAATTGCTTCGGACACAAACGGATGAAAAAAATCAAGTCATTGATGGAATGGAGTTTAGTTGAAGCATATACAATCTAGTGAATTACAAGCACGAAAATGCAAAATGAAAAACATGTACAAATATGAAAATTCAGAGACAAATCAGAAGTATTATTTATTTACTTTATCTCATGGATAATTTACTTTAAAACAATACTAGCCTCTTGCCACATGCATACGTGTGTGGCAATTGGCCTTTTTATATTTTTTATTTAAATAATTAATTTACATATTTTTTAAGAAATTATTAAAAAAAGAAATGAATTAAAGACATGAAACCACCCACTAATGTGGGAGGTTTTGTTTTTGTTTATTTTTCTATAATTTTAAATATTAAATTCATTCAAAATAAAAATATGGTTAAATACTTTAGCTTCTTTTGGTTCAATTGTAATTTATGAGATTCTTAAAGGGCAATTTATGGTATTTTGAATGTTTCACCATTTTAGGGTGCTTACTTTATATATATAGATAAACTGTTAAGAGGGAATTCAAACTCAAATGTATAAGAGCATCTCCACCCGTTGGTGGACGGCAAGAGCAAGGCAAAGGCAAGGGCTATAAGTTTCCATTGCTACTCACTTTGAATAGTAATTGCTTTTGTGCAACTCCACCCTTTTGAAAAAGGGCAAGAGCAAGTATTATTCACAATATTTTTATTTTATTTTTTATGCTTTGAAAATAAAACGATTGTTAATTCTAATAAATTATTTCAAATACAAGAATTTGGGAAGTGGAAAACAAACTGTTGACCCTAAAAACTACCAAGCCTACGTGGCGCGTAAGCCGAGTAACTTATAAGCTAACTACGTCCTTCGGTTGAATGCGGGTCGTGCCAACTCGTCGGTCGAACTCGGCCGAGGAGTAAAATTTGTTGATGTTGCATTGGGTGCGCAGATGACTTCTGCGTCTCACGATTGCGACCGAGGAAGAAACACGTCTCGGCCTCTTGGGTTCTCGAATCTTAAGACAAGGCTACTATTCTTACGAAGTTCACAAATTGTCGTCGTCGGATTCGGTCAAAGTGATGGTATTCGTCAGAGTAAACTCACACCGAATCGACACCAAAGTGTAAGGGCACAAATACTCAAAGATGATACATGTCTTAACAATAAACGTGGTTTGGCCGTCGGAATGTCGAACTCTAAATCCCACTTGAGAGTATCCAATCATAAACTAACTTGACGTGCAATGTGCCGAGCCTAATAAAATGTAACACCTTACTTCACCGAGAATGCTAATGAGATGACCTCGACCAATAAGGATTCGGAAATCCTTTTCGACCGAGACTTGGATAGATAACCAGTCACCCTCGACGCAGTGCTATCTATGCCGACTGAAGATGCTGCGAGACCGGCTGGTTCTACGGTGACAGTGCTATCTATGTCGACTGAAGTGCCACCAGTTGCCTTCACATTACTGTTTATCCAAACTAAAGGTGTGTCAGCGAAAAAAGAAAAGGAAAAAAGTCTCAAGGTTGTTAAGAGAATTTGTGCAGGGCAGTTGTATGTTGAATTGAAGAGGGTTGAACGATGTACAGCCTCCTCTATTTATAGCATCAGGTACTGTCTAGATCGAGTTAAACCCTACTCGGATTAGGATTTCTTCTTCTAATCAAACACCCTCTTGACCAGTCCTATTTTCACTATGACTTTGAACCCAGTCCTTTATCAAGTCGGATTCACTTCCGGGTTATCAATATCCATATCTTGCCGAGACTCCTTATTGCCCCAGGATTCGATTACTCGTCTTGCAGCATGACTTGACCGACCTAGGTTAAGCCCATGAACTAAACGATCCACGATAACCTTTTCGTAAGGCCTTCCGGGCCGAGAATAAATCTCGGCCCAAACATTGCCCCCTTGTTTCTTAGGACTTTTTCGGCCTGAAGTCTCTAGCGGAGCCCTGACCTTGAAGAAGCGACACCAGGCTCCGTCTCCCGAGGTGCATTTATGAAGCACGATTGCACGATCTTGATTTCATTAGACACCTCGCCAAATGTCCTCTTCTCAGCATGACCTGAAGTGTCCTTTCATCATTACCCCCTTGATCCATGAGATTTTTTGAATTCCTCAAGACGTGCGGATGTCCAAACATCCTCAAATCATTATACATGTTGCCGCATGCCATCATGCAATCTTGATTTGTGAATCTTTCGATACCTTCGAGATCGTGCGGACACCAAAATGTCTTTTCTTCATAAAAGGACGCCGTCACGATATCATCATGACCCCTTAATCTGCGAGTTTTTTTGGTTCTTTATTCAGAGTCTGTTAATATTCTCCATCACTCCATAATTATTAGTGATCTTCCCGATCACTCTCCCCGTTTGGTCTTCCATTCCACGAGTCTATAAATACCCGGCTTTCCATTATTCATTCTTTACGTTTTCAAATTTTCCAAACTTCCTCTTGTTCAAAAGATTAAAAGCAAATCCCCTGACTTTATTCCAAAAAGCCTTCAAAACCATTCCAATGGCCTCCTTCATCTCCAAGCTTTCTAAGGAATGCGACAAATGAGGAGCAATTATCGACCAACGCTCAATCAAGACTCTGCGCTTTGAGAGCAACATGAGCATCCCCCACCAGATCCTTGGTCCACTTTTTAAGGATGCAGTGCCACCAGCTATCACCGAACTCTTCAAGGAGCAGTGTTTAACACCTCTACTGCAAGGGTTTGAATGGTCGATGTGGGATTCAGCAAAACCCCAAGGCTCTTGGCCCTCGACCAGTGCGACCTGGGCAGCCTGGGTTGCACGGATGGAAAAGATCTTCGGTGAGCAATGGAAAGATCTTGGCATTTATGATGCCATTCGTCTTTCGTCTATGGAGCTCATCGTGGACAAGGAGCTTCTTATGGCAGCCTCAAGCTTCTAGTGTTCAGCCACCAACACTATGATCCTTCCCCTCGGCCTCATGGGTCTTACTATCCTTGACATTACCGCGATCCTAGGGACTTCCCCTTTTGGCATCTCGGTTGATGTTACCCTCTCTGGGTACCCATCGACCATCGACCTAAAGGCAGTTTTCAACGATCGAGCCATCGAAACACTAACCGGAGAGGGTCAAGAACCCTCAAAGGAGGAAGTTCAGAAACTTCATAAGAACTTCCTCAACTACAACACTCGTTACCTACACTTTGCCGGCTGAGGTGAAGAGAACCTACGGCGGGGAGAACACGAAGCCTTCCTCTTCTACTGGTATAACAAATTTATTTGTTGTACCAAGTTCAACAAATGCCTGGTCGAGAACATGCCGGTGGCTGAAGCCCTGGCCAGCGGTCACACCCTGGCGCTTACTCCAGCTATTCTTGCTCATCTCTTGCGTTGTTTGGCCGAGATGACCCTTCAGAAGATCGACCCACATCAGAGTGGCCCCCTTTGGGTATTCCAGCTCTGGCTGCAGGTTTATTTCATCACCCTTCGGCCAGAGCTTGCCAGCTTTTCGCCTACTGAAGCGCTCGGCCTTCAGGTGGCTTCTCGACCAGTACATTCTCACCAAGCTGAATACGTGTTCAGATACTTCTTTGGCCTTAATGCCCTTTTCGACGATGAATTCTTGATTTGCCATCGTCGAGAA